GAGAATATGTATGTAGTTAAAAAAATAAAAATTTATCACATAAAATGGGCGATTGATAATAAATTTAAAAAGAAAATATCATTTTCAAAAAAAAAAAAAACCTAGACCTTTTAAAGAAGTATGGATCATTAAATTGACAAAAATTTATTCCTACTGTTTTTGTTTTCTTTTTAGTTTTCAATAATGTTTAAGTCGACCTATCAAACTTGAAAGATCCTATGCTAGAAACAATAGGGACCAGCAGCTGTTGCATTCCCTAATGTTCAATTAATAAATCTAGAGTAATGCTATTCATCCCCACTGGGGATGAAAACACTGTCTATGTGACGCTAATATGGTATTAAATGATAGGTGAAATTAAATAAGTCATTTTATTTTACATTTTATTTCACCTATCATTTACAACCACCTAAACTGTGTTTTCATCCCCATTGGAGATGTAAACACAATTTATGTGGCGCTAATATGGCATTAAATGATAGGTGAAATTAAATAAGTCATTTAATTTCACCTTTCATTTCACCTATCATTTACAGCCACCTAAACTGTATTTTCATCCCCACTGGGGATGAAAACACAATCTATGTGGCACTAATATGGCATTAAATGATAGGTGAAATTAAATAAGTCATTTAATTTCACCTTTCATTTCACCTATCATTTACAGCCACCTAGACTGTGTTTTTATCCCCACTGGGGATGAATAACATAATCCATAAATCTATTAAACTATATGCACAATCCTAATATATATTAAGTCCTTGCTTGATCCCCCATTTTGAGGTAAAATGTATTATAAAATAGCGAGTTTTTAAAAAATGTATGCTTAAAAATAAGATTTTTTTTTAATACGTGTATAATTATTTTATAAGAGAATGGTTGAATGAAAATGAAATTAAAAAAACACTTTTTTTAAAAAAGAAGGGGCTCAAACAAGAGTTTTGACATGTATTATATGTAGAAAAATGTATCATTTATTTGAATAAATGTTGTTAAAATCAGTGGTCATGATTACTACCGTGTCAAAAAATGTCAACCACAATGTATATGTTGTAAAACTCTTCCTAAATAACGTCTTTAAATTTAAAAAATAAATATTTTTATATACTCCTATAAATTCTCTATTTTAGGCCTT